CAGGCTGGCAAGGGAGTGGTTAGGGCATGATCAGGCAGGCAGGCAAGCAGTTGGGAGCCAGCAGTCCCAGTGGGATCGGGCCTAAACGGGCAGTCAGACATCCCTCAAGGGGTCCCAGATTGGAGAGGGTACAGGCTGGGCTGAGGGACACCCCCCCACCCGGTCTGTGCATGAATTTTGTGCACTGGGCCTCTAGTACTTTAATAAAAACAAACCTTTCAAATCATTGGGGTATAATAATTTCATAATGTCCCCAAACTCTCAAACATATCCTTTCTGGCCTTTGCAATTTAACTGAAACTGTCTACAGATCCCTACAATGACTTTATGAGGCCAATAACATTTTCCGAATTGGCAGTTATTTTTCCTGAAGTTTCTGTTACTAACACATGCTTGTTATTTCCAAGATTTTGTGTTTTACACTGAGTTTAAGAAGTCCTCTGAGCTTCCTGGCAAAGCACAGGCTAAAATCCAAAGAATTGCCATATCTCAGCAACTATGATGCTAAAACCATTTTTCTCCTCTTACAGCTCAGGAACACCCCAAGGCGGAGCTGACCCCCACAAAAACGGAGGCTACGACAGATTATAGGGAATGTGACACATGACTCACAGTTTGAATTCATATTGTTCATGTCTCTTTATTCTGAAATATAAAATTTTAAACAAAAAAAATTACAAAAGACACGAGTATATGTTGTAAAAATTTCACATGGGAGCATACAAAGTCGAAAAGCCCAATTTCTTCGAACCACCCCTCTCAACCCCAATTCCTTTCGCAGAGGTAACAGCCAAAAAGCTTGGGAAAAACACACAGCTTTCCAGAGCTGTTATTGTAAAATACAAATAGTTTTATAGCATTGCTAACATTCTGCTTTTCTACTTAATATGTCTCAGAGTATTCTTAGCACTTCCTCATTCTCTCCTTTTTACTGATTGCATAATACTCTGCAGCATGGCTGTGCTGTGACTTTTACTTCACCAGTCCCCTCCTGATGGCTGGCTGCCCATTCTGTGACTACCCTTCGGTGCATACTGTTCCCATGCGCACAGGTCTGTAGGAGGCCCACAGGGGATGTCCCTGTATACGTCACATTTGCTTTAAGCCTTCTCAGGGAATGTCTTCCTTTGTTTCTATTTCAATGTAATCAAATGCTGCCAGTAGTTTTCGGAACAGTATCTTAATTTACCAGAGCGGACATTAAATCCAGTAAGATGAAAGCTCATAGACATAGGCCATCGTCTGTACCTTTAAAATCCTCACATCTGCATTTATTCAATGCCTAGCACGTGGCTGACATTGATAAATGTTTGTTGAATAGATAAGGAAAAGTTAACTAGATGTGAGAGGTTTGAAAATAAAGTGTAATAACCCCAAAGTCCCTAAAGTTGGAACTGAGGTCTAAAATTGGTTAGTGAGTCAAGATTTAATTTGATGCCAAATTTTGTATCTTTTATCTAGAAGCTAGAAAACACTGCAAGGTTTCTTAGTTTGGGGGGAGTTGTAAGATGAATGAAAATTCTTGTTTCTTTACTACTGAAGTCATCTCAAGGAATTCCATAAAATGAAGGGAGAGAGAAAATGTAAGATTAAAGACCAAAGAGCATGGTTCGTTCCCAGGTTTTGGCACCAACAAAACAAAACAAAACAAAACAAAATAACCCCCCACCCCCCCAAAAAAAAGGAGTAACAAGAAAGATTCAAACAGGAAGTTACAGGCACATCTGCATATAACTAGGTTTTATAGAAGTACATTAAGTGCCTTTTAATGTAAAAATATTTACATTGAACACTCGCCCCCATCTCTACAGATCACATCCATTTTAAAATTTTTTCCTTAAAAAAAAATTTTTTTTTGTTTTGTTTTGTTAATCCTCACCCGAGGATATTTTGCATTGATTTTTTTTTGGGGGGGGGGGGGAGAGTGGAAGAGAAAGGGAGAGACAGTAACATCGATGTGAGAGAAATACATCGATTGGTTGCCTCCTGCTGGCGCCCTGACCAGGGCCCAGGCCAGGGAGGAGCCTGCAATCAAGGCAAATGCCCTTGACCAGAATCGAATCCGGACCCATTGGTCTGCAGGCCGATGCTCTATCTGCAGCCAGGGCCAGGTCACATCCTGGATGGGCAGCCAAGGAAGCAAGAGCTCAGCTTCACTTGGGCCCCTCCTCCAGGCGGCTGGGACCTGGGCAGCGGGGACTGTGGCAATTCTGTCCCTGAAGGCCCAGAGGCACCATGGCTAGCACCGCAGCAGAACCAAGTCCGAAAGGGGAAGACATTTTGGGTAAAAGGAACAGAGGACGGGGCTTAGGTAGCAGTGCCTGACGTGCACATCTGCATAGGAACACTCCTGAGCCAGCTGTGACCCTTCAGCCGAAGAACGTTCACTGAGCGCAGGAGGGCCAGGCCGGTGCTCAGCACTTAGGGGCTCAGTGCCAGCAACTGGGGGCCTCTTCCCAACATTCGTTTGTGATGCTGACCTGGGACCCCCCCCCCCAGCTTTGGTCAGTCAATTCACTGTTCTCCAGCCCCGCCCTGACCGGCATGGACCCACCTTCTTGTCCTACTGCCTCAGGCTACCAGGTCTGTAACTGATTGGAAATGGCTAGAAAATGGCCTTCTGGGACATTGTTTTTCTTGCCTTCTTCCAGAAAGGAAGGATTTATCTCAACTCTGACACACAGCTCGCGCCTTGGGCCTCGTCATGAATGAGACTTTCAGGAAGGAGGGGGTGGGGGGAGGCAGGACGGGACTGTGCTTAGCAGCCAGAGTTTAGGACCAGAAAAGAACATCACCTTTTAAATAGTAACAAAACAAAACAAAAGCAAAAACACCGAAGACCCCTGGGTAACAGTTTGGGCAGAAGAGTATCTAACAACACCACACTTAGGAGTATAAAGCGATACCCCACAGGAGAAAGGGAAGTTCAGGGACACAGCATCCCTCTGGGCAGGCAGAGTGCTCTGGGACTCTCCCCTTTTGCACAGAAAAGGGCGGCTGAGGGCAAAGGCGTGCTGACTTTCAAAGAACAGGTCTGGTTTGGCCCAAGGGCAACCTAAAATAAAAGAAGAGATTGAATTTTATTTGAGGGGAAGGAACTAAAATACTGCACAGTGCGATTTTCTTATGGAAATGAACAAGTTGCTATGAATGCCACAGCTGAGAGCTGGCACCGTGGGCATCACTCAGGGCTGCCATGCTTTCTGATGAAGTGATAAGGCAGATTCACTTAAGATGAGCCCAGCAACTTCAGGCACATTCGGCTACACAAGGCTGGCAGGGAGTGTATGCTGATTTCCCTCACACGTGAGAACCCTCAACTGGAAAGACCACCAAGCCCAGGGTCCCTGCTCTCCAATGAGGACAGGGAAACCTCAGACTGTGTGTGTCCACTGTGACCCGACTTAGAGAACCGACATCAAAGAGGCGAGGTTGTTCTGTGCTATTTAACATCAGGTCCTAAGCTCACCTCAGACCTCCCCTGCGGCTGCCTGTACCCCAGGCTCCTTGGAATCCAGTGTTTGATGCTGTGGACACAGGCTGGCCAGCTTCTGCAGATCCTCTGAAAGACTGCTCCTTAGATCCTCATTGCTGCTTAGAAATTCTCTTACCGCTTCCAGGCGATTGAAGATCTGCAGAAAGAAACCACACGATGGACAGTCAGAGAATCTGATGGGCTCGGGATTCAAGTGAAAAGTCCCAGCTCACGTGTCCACCGAGAGACAGAAACCTTGGCTACAGCCACCTGCCCACAGACAAACCAAACCAAGCCAAACCCTTTAAAACAAAGCATCCTGCACTCAAACGAAATAAAACTCAGGCTGGCTGGTCACTGTGCTTGTGAGCAAGGTGAGAGTGACTTGTACTTTGGGGTATGATGAAGTTTTGTTGTTGTTGTTAATCCCCATTGGAGGATATTCTCCCATTGATTTTTAGTGAGAGTGGAAGAGAGAGGGAAAGACAGAGAGAAACATTGATGTGAGAGAGACACACCGATTGCTTGCCTCCTGCATGAGCCCTGACCAGGGCGCAGGCCGGGGAGAAGCCTGCAACCAAAGTATGTGCTCTTGATCGGAATCGAACCCGGGACCCTTTGGTCTGCAGGTTGACGATCTATCCACTGAGCCAAACCGGCCAGGGCTGATGAAGTTTTTTAAACCAAGGTATATGCCTTGACTGGAATCGAACCCGGGACCCTTCAGTCCGCAGGCCGACGCTCTATCCACTGAGCCAAACTGGTCAGGGCTGATGAAGTTTTTTTAAATGGGGAACTCCAACCCCAAGCTAAGTCAGGGAGATCTAAATCTAATGAAGAAACATGGTGGAGTGCCCTACCCCTAGCAGGAAGGTGGTCCTTAAAGTTTAGGGTGCACATGATTGATTCCCATGCAGGTCTGGGGGGGGGGGGACTCAGCAAGCACCCAGGTGACTGTGATGCCAGCGAATAAAACAGCCAGACACGTGGGATGATGTCCTGGGACGGAAGGGAGGGGAAGACGGCTGTGGCTTGTCGCCCAGATGCACAGCGGGCAGGGAGGGCCGGGGAGGTTAGGAAGCACGTGGAGCTGTTTATGACCCGGCTGGAAACAAGCCCGCAGCTCCTGAAGGACACCTGGGCTTTAAAGAACCAATCTGGAAACCATAAACACGGAAAATGAGGATCACACCAGCTCC